GACATATTCAGACTGCCAGGGAGGTTAATGTTGAGTAATTCCAAGGTGAGTTCCCCCTTTAATAAAGCAAGTCACTGATAGCAGCTTAGTAAACAATTGTAAGAACATAATCATGTTTTAGTACACATGAATAGTATACTTTGTAGGAATTATTTATGAAACTTAGAGGCATGTACTTGACCCTGCTTTTTAAATGGATTACAGCATTCACTCACCATGACCCTTCCAATGCACACAAAGTACTGTAATTGCAGACAGGCATGTACACCTAAACAGCTTTGAACATATCTTACAAACACATAAAACTGTATGTCAGACCAGCCCCTCTCAGCCAGGATTCCGTGGAACCCTAGAATTCCTCCACAGATTGCTAGGAGCTCCATGAGCAGACAGTGGTGGATTGGCTCTCTGCTTGATGGGACCATCATAGTTTTAGGGCCAATATCACTGGAGAAATCCAATAGCCTGGGACCAGTGAAGCCACTAGATAAGCAACTACTGAAATAACTGATCTTTAAAGCTGGCACACACACTATACAATCTCCTTTAGACAATCTATACATTTTGTATCCAAATAGTGCATGGTTGATAGCAAATCTAAAGGAGATTATACAATCCAAATGCATAGTGTATGGACATCGTGGGGCAACAATCTTCCAAGTGAATACCTATGGAGGTATTCTCCCACTTGCCAACAATGCAAGGGAGTCCAAAACATATTCACCCTTGAGTGCCACATCCTCTAGGGCCGCCACATTGTTTTTATTGATTATATCCACAAGTTACTATTGACACACCATGGGCTGTAGCTGTATTCATTTTTAGCAGGGCTTCCCCAAGATCTGAAAGTCATCTCAAGAGTTCCTCTGAAGACTGAAAGCCGTTATTAAATGCAAAAAATGTAATATACCGCAGCTTACCAATCCTTAGATGTGGAGGCTGCACTAGTTTTCCTCCCTCTATTTTCACCCGGTGAACTAACCAGTAACACCTCCTGTATTAGAGTGCCCCCACTCTGGAAGAAGTAGCACAGGGGGCACCGTCGGACATCAGCATTGACAGTCTAGGGGCAGGGAACTGTTAGATGGACTAACAGATTTAGATACACCAACAAACTGAACTCTAGCTAATATGTTAAAAGCAGTTACAGCAAACAGTGTTGGTCCCTTTGAGAGAAAGGCTTTACATAAATAAAAGATAATAGTAAGCACCCCTGTCCGTGGTAACTGGTTTGTCTCAACCCTCTGCTACAAATGCAGGACAGCTTGTTCTTTTGAAAAACAATAGATTTACTGGTAAAAATAAAATCTTAAAAAAAAAAAAAAAAAACAAAAACACACACACAACACAACAGCAAATGCAGCCATCACACAAGAATTTGCAAGCTGCAGAATAATAAAAAAGGTTTGCTTTATTACTGCTTTAAATTGGCTGCAGGAGATGCATGCTGTGTACAGAGGTCTACAAAGCCACGAGTGGAAGCTTCCCTGAGACAGAGCGTTCAGAAATTCCATAACAGAGACGCTGCTGCTCCGACACACGTAGCCCCTATTGTTGTACAGCAAGCAGATCCCACTTGTTTACAGAGAAAGCATCCTGGAAGTTCTGTATTACCTCATATATGGTATGTACGGTATTCTCCGAGGGCCTTACTGATCCCCCACACACAATCTGGCATGTTTGTTTTTTTTTAGGGAATTGTTCATTTTAATTTCTGCATTCCAGATGCATTTTTGAATACTCATTTATGCCTTTTCAATGCATTTCAATGCATTTTTTGTCACTTTAAAAATCTTTTCATTCAGGACAATGTGCATTCTAGTGAAATTACATGCTGCAGCTTTCAGAACTTTTCAAAAAGCACCGCACTGTGTCTGTAAGAGGAGCTCTATAGGATTTAAAAAGTGATACATTTTTACCTTTCAAAAAAAATGTTTCCGTGTGAAAGGGCCCTTATGGTTTTATATATAAAATAAAAGCAGATCATTGTAAGCACCCCTACCAGTAGATGGTTTGTGTCAACCCTCTCACTGCTACATCTACAGGACAGCTTGCTCTTCTGGAAAAAAAAAAAAAAAAAAAAAAAAAAAAAGACTTACTGGTTGGATCACCAGCTGAAAATAAAATAGAAAACTAATGCAGCCGTCACATCTAAGGATCACCAAGCTGCAATATAATAAATGTTTGGTTTTGCCACTTTAAATCAGCAACTGCACCCAGCTCAAAATACATAGTAACTACAGAAGGCGATCTCTATGGAAGGAAGGGATAGATATGAGGAAGGGATATATATGGGGAAAGATCTTTCTGGAAGGAAAGGATATTTATGAGAAAAAAGATCTCTCTGGAAGGAAGTGATATTTATGAGGAAAAAGATCTCTCTGGAAGGAAGGGATATATATGGGGAAAAAAGATCTCTCTGGAAGGAAGGGATATAAAAGTGGACGTTGATCTCCCTCGAAGGAAAGGATATAAAAGTGGAAGGTGATCTCTCTCGAAGGAAGGGATCTCTTAGATTGTAAGCTCTAAACGAGCAGGGCCCTCCATTTCCTCTTGTACCAAACTGTATTCTAACTGTAATGTCTACCTTCATTTTCTAAAGCGCAGCGCAAAACTATTGGCGCTATATAAATCCTGCATAATAATATTAGAAGAAGGCAATCTCCCTGGAAAGAAGGGATATATAGGAAAAAGGTGATTGCCATAACTCAAGCTTGGAGAACCCCTTCGGTTGTCTTCCAGGGAGTGAAGACCCGGATGAATGCTATGTTGATCAATGAACAGATGTCTAGCATTCTTCATGATTCTCATCCGAGATTCCTTAACGTTTGGGAACCTTGGATATGTTATTCCTTGCCATCCCTGCCCCCTACTAGTTATGGCCTCTTATAGTCGCTGCCTGTGCTAGCCCTGGATCCGTGATTTTTCTAGTTTTCCTTTCCTCCATGTTTTCTTTCAGATTCCTTTTTTTTTTTTTTTTTTTTTCGGTAATATGATGGATTGTTACTGACATTATTTGGTTCGGCTTTTTGCCATCCCTCCTTGTTGTCATTGGACATTCCATTATTTGGCTAATAAAAGTTAGCTGGATGTATCTAATTATGTGTTATTGTTCTGCTCTGCCCCTGCATGTATCTTGAGCTTGTTGTATTCTTAAAACAAACCTTTCTTAATAAAAATAATGAACCAGAAGGAGGAAGGTGATCTCTCTGGAAGGAAGGAAAGGATATAAAAGCGGAATGTGATCTCTCTGGAAGGGGGGAAGGGATATAAAAAGCGGAAGGTGATCTCTCTGGAAGGGGGGAAGGGATATAAAAGCGGAAGGTGATCTCTCTGGAAGGGGGGAAGGGATATAAAAGCGGAAGGTGATCTCTCTGGAAGGGGGGAAGGGATATAAAAGCGGAAGGTGATCTCTCTGGAAGGGGGGAAGGGATATAAAAGCGGAAGGTGATCTCTCTGGAAGGGGGGAAGGGATATAAAAAAGGAAGGTGATCTCTCTGGAAAGAAGGAAGGGATATAAAAGCGAAAGGTGATCTCTCTGGAAAGGAAGAAGGGATATAAAAGCGAAAGGTGATCTCTCTGGAAAGAAGAAGGGATATCCAGAAGGTGATCTCTCTGGAAGGAAGGGCTCTCCTAGATTGTAAGCTCTAAACGAATGCAGGGCTCTCCATTTCCTCTTGTACCAAAAGGGATACATAGGAGGAAGGCGTATTGAAACTGTAATGTAATAGAGGAAGGCGATCTCCCTGGAAGGAAGGGATACATAGGAGGAAGGCGATCTCCCTGGAAGGAAGGGATACATAGGAGGAAGGCGATCTCCCTGGAAGGAAGGGATACATAGGAGGAAGGCGATCTCCCTGGAAGGAAGGGATACATAGGAGGAAGGCGATCTCCCTGGAAGGAAGGGATACATAGGAGGAAGGCGATCTCTCTGGAAGGAAGGGGAAGGGATACATAGGAGGAAGGCGATCTCCCTGGAAGGAAGGGATATATGGAAAGGGATATATAGATCTCTCTGGAAGGAAGGGATATATGGAGGAAGGGATATATAGATTGATCTCTCTGGAAGGAAGGGATATATGGAGGAAGGGATATATAGGAGGAAGTTGATCTCTCTGGAAGAAAGGGATACGGAGGAAGGGATATATGTTGATCTCTCTGGAAGGGATATATAGGAGGAAGTTGATCTCTCTGGAAGAAAGGGATATATAGGAGGAAGGGATATATAGGAGGAAGGGATTATAGATATATAGGAGGAAGTTCTCTGGAAGAAAGGGATATATAGGAGGAAGGGATATATAGGAGGAAGTTGATCTCTCTGGAAGAAAGGGATATATAGGAGGAAGGGATATATAGGAGGAAGTTGATCTCTCTGGAAGAAAGGGATATATAGGAGGAAGGGATCTCTCTGGAGGAAGGGATATATAGGAGGAAGGGATATATAGGAGGAAGTTGATCTCTCTGGAAGGGATATATGGAAGGAAGGGATATATAGGAGGAAGGTGATCTCTCTGGAAGGGATATATAGGGATATATAGGAAGGAAGGAAGGGATATATAGGAGGAAGTTGATCTCTCTGGAAGAAAGGGATATATAGGAGGAAGGATAGGAGGGGATATATAGGAGGAAGGTGATCTCTCTGGAAGAAAGGGATATATAGGAGGAAGGGATATATAGGAGGAAGTTGATCTCTCTGGAAGAAAGGGATATATAGGAGGAAGGGATCTCTCTGGAAGGGATATATGGAAGGAAGTTGATCTATAGGAGGAAGGCGATCTCTCTGGAAGGGATATATAGGAAGGAAGGGATATATAGGAAGGAAGGATATATCTGGAAGGAAGGGATATATAGGAGGAAGGCGATCTCTCTGGAAGGGATATATGGAAGGAAGGGATATATAGAGGAAGGTGATCTCTCTGGAAGGGATATATGAAAGGAAGGGATATATAGGAGAAAGGTGATCTCTCTGGAAGAAAAAGATATAAAAGAGGTTTTCTCACCTGAGAGGAGAGCATAAGTTCAGCATCTTCGGCTTGCCACAGCTCCACCATGCTGGGGACTGGCTCGATCACTAGAGATTGCACAAAACAAGACAAAAGATGGGATTTTATTGGTGGTAGCAGGATGCAGACATGAGACAGGGATATCTGTATACAGACATGACAAGCCCCCTGTGTATGGGTGCAGGCAGGAGCCCATGTGCCAGACTGTGGTATGGCAGGGGGTTGTGTACACATGGTCACTAGGAGCTGTCACAATGTAGCAGACAAAGCCACCATGTGTCAGCGCACACAGCTCAGAACAATGCACGGCCAATGGGCTCCATGAGCCGCCTACCCCGCTCCAAGTCCCCAGGCCCATTCCCTCCTGCAGGCAGTAGGGCCCCCTCAGCCCGGAGTAGAAGGTGCACCCCAGCCCGGGCTCCCTGTTGTACGTTCCGCTCCTCCTCACCTTGCCCTCCTCCTTGCCGAAAGCAGGGCAGCAGGACGTGGAAGACCCCCAGCAAGAGATTGACGGCCGTGGCAATACAGCAGCGGCTGCCCCTGTGCGGGAGAAGCAGCCCCGCCATGCTGCTGCTATCTCTCGGGCTCTCTGTGCTCGCTCGGGTGTCACAACAGCAGCAGAGCGGGGCGGGCCCACCGTGCACACGTGGGGCGGTGTGTGTGAACGCGCCCTGGGGAGTGTGTGCGCCCTGTCACCGCTTGCGTATGGCGCTGGGCGGTGCTAACTCTCCCAAACAAAGAGCCCCGGGCCAGGCCCCGCCCACTCCAGTGCCAGACAAAAGTAGATGGTCACATGGCACGTGGTCTGTGCTGGCAGGCTGTCTGGCCGGGGCCAGGGTTGTCAGGCTGTGCTCTGTGGTACAAGGTAGTCAGATGGACGACCCTTAAAGTGTATTTCTACTTGTGCAGCTCAAGTGGGATAACAGCTGCTTACAGGGTTATGTGTTCTTATTCACATAGCAAAACATGAGAAAAAAAACACAGAAATTGCAGTATTCGGCCTGGTTCACATCTATGCAGTTCCCACAGCCGCAGTCAAAACGCGTGGGCGCCGTTCATTCTTTGAGCAACCCCACGCATCTAAAAACACAGCGCAGGAACCGCTGGGAAATCGCTTAGTGCCAAAGCAGCAGATTTCCAGCCAGCTGTGTTTTTATAATGCTGCATGCAGCTTATATTCTATGGGAAATGCAGGCATGGTCGCTGATTTCAATGAATGGAATGGCCTGCCCTTGTAGACGCAGTCCATAAACCCAAATAGATGTGAACCAGGCCATCTGATCCCTCCAGTATGAAAAAATCCTAGGCAAGTCGCTTTGTGAGGGTGCGGGGCTGCTGTGTTTGCCATAATTAACCGTGTGAGTACTGAGCAGGTAGATTTCAATCTGAACTCTGGGGTAGATTTACTAAAACTGGAGCACTTAGAATCTGGAGCAGATGTGCATAGTAACCAATCAGCTTTTAACATCAGCTTCTTCAATTATCTTTTGACCAAAAAACCCCCAAAAACTGGAAGCAGATTGGTTTCTATGCAGAGCTGCACCAGATTTTGCACTCTCCAGTTTTAGTAAATCAACCCCTGTCTGTCCTAACAAATGGTTAAAGTCTAGGTTTACCTTTTTTCCCCCCTAAATGTCAGCTTCCTATTAATCAACCACTAATGTATCTCTGTTGCAGAAAAGTCTTTCTCCATATTCTGGAGCAGTCCTTACCTCAGCCTCCAGGGTACTCCTCCATTAATTCCTGGTATTTGGGATGGGATAACTGTTAGAAGGAAGTCATTCAACAGCTGATCTCATCAACCACTTCTGACCCACACTGAACTGCAGACAGGCAGCCACTGTAGGCAACTCGGCATACATGTAGGTCTCTGCCGTCATCCAGGTGTAGGGCACGTACATGTACCCCCCCAGCCAGCACCCACTGTGATTGTACACAGCAGAAGCCTGTAAGCAAGTCCCATTCAATGATTCACAGCTAGGACCTGATGATCGGTTGTGTGCAATCAACACAGCGCTCTGTCCAGAGAGAACAATCTCTCAGCTAAAGTGTTACTAAACCCACAGCAGTAAAATCAGTCTGTATATGCAGTAAAGCATGCTTGTTATACTCACTGTGGAACCTAAGGGGTAATCCTCTCCATTGTGTAAAAAGACCTTGATCCTGTCTTCTCTGATCCTCCTGATAAGACAGACTGAACCCATAGCCACATGCACATGCTCAGTTTAGTGGGTAATGCTAGATTTTTTTTTCATTGGGAGAGTGCATGTGATCAGCACAAGCCAATAAGCACTATCCAGACAGAGGTCAGAGGTTTCACATCCTAGAGCAGATCGAAAACTCCTCCTACAAGCTTTAACCAGTGCTCAGCAGAAGTTGCACGACTGCTCTAACTCCTAATGTGAAAAGGTATTTAGCAGGTTATATTAATAAAATAATTTCATTTCCATGTTCTGTGTACTGTGGGAGACCAAATATAGTGAATGCAGGTTCTGGGGTTGAGTAACACTTTAACACACCCCCAGCACCTGCCCTTCAGATTGCTCTTGCCCACTTCTGTGCTTACCTGCAGACATTATCAGTGAGCACTGTTCACTTTGTCTTCCTCTGCTGATTAATCATTTTGTGCCTTACCTTCTTCCTGCATAGTTTGTTTGGTAGGGTGTACAGGAGCTGAGCGATCACATAAAGCCTATATGGAGCAGAGGTGCAGTAGTGAAAACAGGAGAAGTGTGTGCCTGACCATCTGTAAAGCTCACCGATACAATCTTATTATACAATCTCCTTTAGATCTACCATCAACTATGTAGTGCAAGAACCTGCCTGACTGGATAGCTAAATGTATCCCCCTCTTATATAGTTGGGGTAAATCTTCAGAAAATTGTACAATCGGAGTGGAAAGTGTATGGCCACCTTCATGCACCTAAAATGAACAAGGCGTGCTTGTCAATGGCACTTCAAACACGGATGCAAACATGCATTTTGCCATCTGCAAAAATGCTCAAAAAAATGTGCAAACTGCAACACACCAAAACGTCCCATGAACTACTTTGCCACATTTGTTGTACATGTAAGGCAGCACATTAAAATAAATGGGCTGCCCAATGCATGTCACAAGAAAAACACAGCAAATAACATACACTCTCACTACACTAGATGGGTGTGAATGGGGCCTAGAAAATGAAATTGATTTGTTTATACAAGAAGCTGGGTATCTCCATCCACTTTCTCCTATGTATTTATATAAAGCTGGCCATACATTATAGAATCTGGGCAATCTCTGTACAATTTCCTACAGATTTGCCAAAACTATGGAATAGGATGAACCTGAAAAATTCATTCAATTTGTATCAAATCAGACAGTCCCTTGCACTACATAACTGATGGGAGATGTAAAGGAGATTCTACAATATATGGTCACCTCAAATCTATCCCACCTGGCCTATTATACGATGGTGGCCGAGTGGGAACCCTATTAACCTGTTCCTACCCGGCCTATGGTAAAATGATGGCCGGGCGGGCCTCTCGTCCCTTCTGGAAGGCGTCATATGACGTCCTTCTGGTCACGCCCCCAACGGCACGCAGTGCGCGATCTCTAGTCTGCTGTGTCCCATGGACACAGTGCTTCCATAATGCAGATAAACAGCCAATTAAATTGGCTGTTTACCATGTGATTGGCTGTGTCCTATCACAGCCCATTACAAGTATAAACAAACAGCGGTAACTTGCTGGTACAACTTTTCCTCACACACGGATCCTGTGTGAGAAGAAGGGGAACATTGAGTTACAGCATTCATTACTGTGCACCACACTGCCCTGATTGATTGTCACAGCTGGTCATCAGTATACCTGTTTGCCAGTCCATCAGAGTACTTGTCGCTAGTCCATCAGCATACCTGTCAGCACAGCCTGTCACGTACCTGTCATACAGCCCATCAGATACCTTTTAGCACAGCCTGTCAGTGTACCTGTCAGTAAAGCCCGTCAGCTTACTTGTCAGCACAGCCCATCACATACCTGTCAGCACAGCCCAGCAGCATACCTGTCAGCACAACCTGTAAGTGTGCCTGTCAGCACATCCATGAGGGAAGCCTATCAGTGTACACTTGTCAGTGCAGCCTATCAGTGTACCTGTCATCAGTACAGCCTAATCAGCGTACCCATAACAAAGTCACCATCACTGCCACCCATCAGCAGCGTACACATCACAGTTGCCTGTCATACAGCCAAGATGTAAAAAAAAATTTCACAAATGAGGAGGCTTTCAAAATCCTAAGCATGACGGACAACAGCAGCAGGGAGCTCTCATCGTCCGATTTCGAATACGAGCCAGTAGAAAGCAGTGGATCGGTGACCCAGGACTACATTTTAATGGACCATGTTCCGGCCTGTTTGCTGTACCACCGAATCAGGAGAGGAAGCAGTCCCTCCTAAAAGAGTAAGATGCTCTGAAGAGCAGGCAACCGGGAGCATTGCCAATGTATCAGCGCCATTACACCCAAATGGTCAATGGTCCAACGGAGCTAGCCCCCAGGATGAAAGGCCCAGTACCAGCACTGGAATATCATGCCAAGGCCCAAACATACCTCCCAGACACTCTGGCAAACCCTTTATGGCTTCCTTCCAGCTCAGGATCAGCTACAATACCCCCTTTCACCACACAACCAGGCGTGCAGCCCAACACAGAAAATTTTTCCCTGATTGATTTTTTTAATTTCGTTCAATGAATTGTGGATCAGACTAACCTGTTTGCCCAACAACATATCACAGACAACCCCAATTCATGCTGCACCCACCCATTTGAATGGAGACGGCTAACAGTAGAGAAGTTTAAATTGTTTTTGGGCCTTACGATCAACATGGGGCTTGAAAATAAAATGAATTACATTCATATTGGTCCACCCACCCCATCCCCATCTTTTCAGCTGTAATGTCCAGGTCACACTATGACATGATAATGCGCTTCCTGCATTTCAGTGATAATTCCCAGTGCCCTCCCTGAGATCAGCCAGGCTATGACAAACAATAAAATTATTTTTTTTTCTAAA